AACCCCCCCCCCCCCCCCCCCCCCCCCCATCAGGGCCAAATATTTATCAGTGCTAATTTCTAAAGCAGCTTAGCGGCAGCGTTGGCGGCGGCAGCTCAGGGTTCAGGACAGTTTTTGGCTTTGCTGCCTGTTTGGATGAAACAACAGAACAAAAGCTGCTTTATCAGAAGAACTGGTTGGACGCCAAGACGACACACACTGACACACAGTTGGGGGGGTTGGCGTTGCTCGGTGCCCCACGTTGGCTCTGCAGCCATTTTAGTTTCTGATGAAAACAGCTTTGTTTCCACTGAGCAGCTACAAACACTGACTGAGCAGGAGGTCATGGAGGACCCATCAGACGGTTCCTCTGATGGTCTCTGCTTACTCTGCTGAGTTTCCTATAAAACGGCGTGCAGACTCGTCAGCTGGTCTCTGTCATCGCATGTTCATAAACCTCTGAGCAGATCTGAACATAAGAACCTTCATCACATACATGAACGCTGCAGGAAACTCTGATCTGGTCATAGGCACGTGTAAATGTTCATGAGCGCCAAACAATCATAAGCTGACAGCACGCTAATGCTAGTCAGTAATTAGCATACAGCCCTGCCCACAAATATCCAGAGACGCCATATATGGAGGTGATGATGACTGTGGACAGGTGCGTCCTGATGAAGCAGATACAAACAGACGAGCAGGAGAATCAATGTGAAGCAGCTGCAGAACATTTCAAACCTTCTGAAACTGAATTTTGTGTCTCAGGACCTGTCTGCTCACACACACTGGGGGCTTCTGGGAAATGTAGTTGTATCATTGTAGCAGAGTGTTAACCCTTTGTGTTATGTTTCCTCAGTACGTGTTTGACTATCAAGACGGCGACGTGTTCGGCTGCGTGGCGGACGTCGGCTGGATCACGGGACACAGCTACGTGGTGTACGGCCCGCTGTGTAACGGCGCCACCACCGTCCTGTTTGAGAGCACACCTGTTTACCCAGACCCAGGTAAGACTCACAGACCATATTTATATATATATATGAATATATTAAGATTCCAAGATTCAGTACTTTATTGCCATACAACTTGCACAAGTCGTTAGGGAATTGCTGCAGTGCGCTCTACATGGCAGGACAACCACAAGACAAAATAACAAACCAGAAAACAAATAAAAACAGGACACAGGACACAAGACATTCTTCATGGCTGACACACGGTCACAACTGTCATGAGAACAGGTCATACCTCACACGCCTTGACATGTTTTGAACCTGGATGCTAGTCCAGGAGGCTAAAGGCTAAATACATATCTATCTATCTATCTATCTAGATAGATATATATAGATATAGATCAAGATAGATATAGATATATTTATCTAGATATATAGATAGATAGATAGACAGGTGTACAGGTGCACAGGTGTACAGGTGCACAGGTGCACAGGTGTA